TAAAAGGATTGAAACCTTTTTATCTATCTTGAAATTGAACATATTTGACTCAAAGCATAACTAGTGGGGTGTATGGCATCGTGCCTTAAGGCAAATTGCTGGAACTTCCCATACCGTAACGAAATGTTTGAGGAATACTGAATGTTTTCAAATAGATGATTATAAATGAATACTGTAACATTGTGTAATATTTATAAGAATTATATAAACTGAATTGCAAAGTAGAAATTATTTGTTTAAAGTATATTAGAACTTTAGTCAGAATTAAAAATAAAATCTGCATTATTTTCGATATATAATTTTTTAAAAAAAAAAAAAAAAGTTGAAACAATTTTTTTTTTCCAAAATCAATTATTTTGTTAAGACAAGCAGAAAGTTCTTTGAATCATTTAAATCGGACGCTTAGTTCTCTCAAAAACTGCCATTTTTTTAACATTTAGCTCTGTGTCTCCGAAACTACTGGCCTACCTTTGCCAAAAACTAATAACCACTTTTCCCCGTCATTACGAACTAAATGTTTTTTGGATCATACAAATCGGATGATCCGTTCTCTCAAAAACTCGATTTCTATTTTCTGCACTCTTTGCTCCTTATCTCCGAAACGGCTGGACCTGCCTTTGCCAAAAACTAATCAGCTCTTGAAAATTTGTATCCATACATACATACACACACATTCATTTTTTCTGAGGTGTGCCAAAATGTTCAGAAACCTTCAAAACGTCGAGAAATGCAAAAATTTTCAATTTCGATTTTCGGACCATTACAATAACTTACCCTACGGGAAGTTAAAAAATAATTCAAGCATTCGAAAACAAGAAATGATATAGTGATTTTTGAAGCGTTCTACGTATCGTAAAAATGTTAAAAATTTCAAAATGTCAGATTTAAAAACTGTCAATGAAAATTGAAATGTTAAAAAAAGTACAAAAATTAAAATAAACAAAACTTGATACCTGTCTCAAAGTTTAATTTAATCACATTTCTTTATGCATGACAAAGCACTTGAAAAATTATTTATTTAAGATCGGCACAATTGTGCCACATTTTCACACCTTCCTGCCTAAGGATTTCATCTTTGCTCTACGTAGTTACCGGACAAAAATACCCACGCAACGATCTGCTGTCCAGAAATTAAAAATAAATATTATCTTATAATTGACAATAGATTATTATAAATATATAACACCTCCGCCACACGTTGGTTTTCGAGAGGGTGCTAAGTAAATATCAAATCGTCAATAATCTTTCACTCTTTTGATGCTGTCAGAGGCTAAAATGTATTTTCGGGGCCAGCTTTAATTTGCACATAATGGATTGTTTTTATAGGACGACTCGACGATAAGAAATATTATAGGATAGGACGAACTCTGAGGTAGGAAGTAAAGGATAAGCTTCCCCGAGCATGAGTTGATCTGTGTGGTCGTAGTAAACAAACATGGGCGATGGGCAATGGGCATGTGACCATGCGCTTTCTTGAATGAAACACATGTGCCCATGTGCCGCGGAGAGAACGGCCTATGTAATGCGGGCACCCAAACTTATTATTAGTTATTCATTTTTTTTTAAATTTTAACAGCTATCAGCTAATATTCCTAATTTGTTAATGACTTCGGGCGTGCAACACAGCGGTTAACCACCCTTCTTTGCTATTACTACATTACATTATATTAGATATGTGTATCCAGGGCCGGTCCTGGGGTCTTCAGCGCCCGCATGCAAGTTTTGTTCTAGCGCCCCCCCCCCAATAATTTCAACTGTTTTATCAGTTTTTCATTAAAATCATTCTGGATTTAGTACACAAAAATTTAGATGTAATCTAAAAGCATATAAAATACATTGATTTTAAATTTATTTAGAAAATCGAGGCGATTCGCGGGTTGATCATAATCAAAATTTTTAAATTCTCAATTATTTCTAACGTAGGTGTAATATCAATATTTTGGTTTTGAAACATTTAACTTATTTATTATGCGATTTATTCTATAGAGCAAATCACGCCAAAAGAGCAAAAAAAGAATAGTCTTTAATTTTTAAACATAACATTCGTATTTTATGTTTTAAATCAAATTTTATTTTAATTTATTTTTTCATTATTCACAATATCCATAATTGCATCGTAAACTTCTCCGTATTGGTATCGTAAGAGCCGAATTGTATTCAGCTTTACTTTCCCATCAGATTCAACGTGTTGTTTTAAAAACGTATTTTTTAAGTATTGTCCAAAATTAGTAAAAGATGCGAAGAAATTACATATTTCCTTAACTGTACTGAAACAAACAAATTATATTTGCATCTGTATTATTTCTGCATAGTTAATACTTAAATTATGTATATAAAAACCTTAAAGATTTTTGTTCCTAAGTACATTTTGCTTTCATTTTTCATATTTGCTCCATTTCCATAACCCTAACCACGCATGTCTTCAACATTCAAAATTCATCAGAAGCGAAACATTTGGAACAAAAACAAAAGTTACGAATCAATTTCTCGGAATAAACATGCCATTTTTTAAGCACTGACTCCCCATTTTTCATTTTCCCGATTATAATTTGTTTATATTTTTTAACAAGTTCCGTTTTAACTAAATCAGCTCGCAATTTTTCGTCAATAATGCCTAATAATTAATTTAATATTTCGCAGGTTTGAGCCTATGGGATTGAACACTAGATAATTTTTTTTTCGATTCCACGGTAAATTCAAAAAAAAGAAAAAATTGAATAAGTAGATTAAGCAATGAACAGAGCTGTTATTTACTAATTTGCAGAGTTATTAATCGGTTAATTGTTTCTATTGATATCACATTGCAAAATAAATGTGAATAAATGCTTTTTGTGTCTTTGTATCCCTAATTAAGTTAGATTGTTTATTATAATTTATTATGTATACTTGATTTTATATAAATAATTCTAGATTTTATATAAAAAATATAAATATTATAATATAAATTTAATTTCCGAAACTCGTTTTGGCGCCCCCTAAGGCGTGCGCCCGCATTTTTTGCATGCATCGCATGCAAGGCAGGACCGGCCCTGTGTGTATCTATAATGTATGTGATGCAGCAATGCCGGCGAAAGGCGATTTTCAATTGGCAATCATATATGAAATCTATTATCATAAGTAAAAACTGCTTGATATCGAGCTTGGCCGAGGTTGAGACCGAACTCGGCACTAGTTAGTGCTAGTTCACGTCCTTGCAAATTACGCCATATTTCATTGTTTATCTCTATAAAACTTTGGCATTTTGCCTTAAGGCAAGTTGCATGAACTTCTTGATACGAATAAATAATCGATACCAATAGCTTTATCTAGATAAAACTTTCCACTGTTTATTTCAAATATAAAATTTTATTTTTTACTAATAATAATCAATCCATATTGAATATCTTACGTTTCAAGCTAAGTAAAAACTTAGCTTTCATATTGACACCTGTAAGTAATAATTAAATTTGTGAAGACGGCGTGCAAAAAATGCTTTTACAAAAAGTTCGTAATTTTGAAAAAGTTCAAAAAAAAAATTAAAGTTTTTAGTTTAAAATAGGATAATAATGTGTAATACATAATAATGTAATACTTCCTTCTACTACTATTATCATATAGTCCTAGTATCAAACTAGAAGACAATTTAAAAAAAAAAACACACTAATAGCTAACAAAAACACCGTTTTTTTTAAAAAGATTCTTTAACAATAATGTGATTGTTGAGAAGCTTATTTATGAATAAACCTAATCTACCGAGTTCGATTTTTTGGTTTTTGACCATATAAAAGTTTATTAGAATATTATATTTGCAATGTACACAATTTGGTATGTTTTTTAAAAAAATATTTTTTTGACCATTAATCATACAGTAAAACTTTATTAAATATTTTTATGGCTAATAATCATACGTATCTGTTTAAAAAATATATTTTCTGTTAACAAAGCACAGATAAAATTTTCAACAATACACATTTAAAAGATTTTGAATTACAATTAAAATTATCTTTTTTGCATTCAATTAATACATTCACCTCTTCAGGTTAATTTTTAATACATAGTGAGTTAGTATAAAATATTACAACTTTGAAGTACCTGCAAAAAGGATTCTGTGTTATAGAGATTATGTTAAATTTAAAGACAGAAAAATAATTTTTCTACATTATTTATTAATTAACAAAAATTGTATTGTCCATTCATTTACACATTTACATAAAAAGTATACTATCTACCTATATAGATTGCATACTATTGCAACTTCTGCCACAGTATACAATATTATCACAAGTTATGAACAAAAACTTATTCTAATGAATCACATACACTTTATGATAAGTTTGTTAAAGGTACGCGACTATATATTCAAAATTAATTTTGATTTTGGTCAATATTTATTTTGCACATTCAGGTTTAGTAGATTACATATATTTGTAATATGGGAAATATGCATATTTTTAATTTCTATGTAAATGCCACAGACACGTGTCTTGGTGATAATGAAAATTATTTATACTTAGTTCATATTAATATTTTATTATTAAAATTTACATCTTTGTAGTTTGCATACCATTCGGTTTTCAAATTAGAAATTGAAAATTATCCATAATAATATTTGCAAATTAAGTTTATTTAAATTAGAAATTGAAAATCATCCATAATAATATTTGCTTCAAATATATTATTAATAAATTGTCTTGTATAAATCATAGCATTTAATCATATATAAAAAGTATGCATACTTCCAGGTTAAATACAGATATTCACAGTTTAATGCATGCCTAAAAATCTATGCTTAACATCAAATATGCAAAGAAAAATATAATAATTATATTCAATTAGTGGCAAAAAATAATTCAAAATAATTCTGTATGATGAATATAAATTAAGCATTTTATGCACATTGTAAATTTAAAAAAAAGTAAAATACTAAATAAGATTTCTAAATAGAGATTGGCAGGACTATGTTATTTTATAAGCTATTAAATAGATAATTACCTATAAAACCTTCAAAATATAGCGGCAAATTTATCAAAAATAACATTTTATAAAAATCATTAACCTAACATATTTCTAAACAAGTATCACGATTTAAAAATTATATCCTTATAGGTGTTCCCAATAAACTATTATTAACAAACAAATCAATAACAAATAAAATGTCAATTTACACCTTAAATTGTTTGTACCATCAGTATTAATTTTTAACAATGTTTTTGAGTCTACCTGCAATTACTCTGCCGAAGTGGGTTCCGTCCCAATAGCACTTTCCACAACCTTCGCAAACATAAAATACTGAAACATTATTGAGAACTGTTAATGGTATCAGGTTGGCTTGGATTAAAGCACCACTTTTCGTAAATCGATTTAAAGCATTGCCTCGAACTGAAAAATATGTTAAAGCTGACATGAATAACAACATAAACTAGAACATTATTAGGAACTCTATAATACATACCTAATTGCCAGGATCTGCTATTTACGGGTAGTTGTTCTAAAGTTCCACAAAAAGAATTACCAAGTGCATTGTTAATATTCGCTAAACTAAGCATCTCACTGCGGGAAAAACTTGAGAATTCATTGTTGTTGCATATCTAAATAAAAGTGCACTTATCATTTTATTTTATTCTTTGAGTAAAATTGTTAACCTTAACCAATATTACCTGACATCTGCTGAAAATATTGTTTTCAGTAACTTCAATGTTGTAATAATGTAATACTTCTTTTAATTGTTCATCAACCGGATCAGATTTCACTCTATAGCAGTACCCGAGAGGAACAAATTGATGCAACTGGAATATTTAAAATTTTAAATTATTCGAAATTATTTTTAACTAAAAGTTTGATCGTATTGTATAAATCCAAAATAATATGTATGTTGCCTACCCTATTGAATGCTGTGCCTCTTGTTAATATAATTCGTTGCTGTTGTTGAGCAATATTGATACATATGTCATGGTCTTTACTATTATCAATTGATATAGCATCAACACCACACTTCCGTAAACATCTCGCCAAGCCCTCCAACATACTATCACAGACAACCTTTATAGCATCTACTCCACGTGTTGGCAAATTAGCAAAAGGACTAGGAACTTGTTCTATTATGGTTGTTGGCTGCTAAAAAATGCAAAACTTCAGTTTAATAAAGCCATTTTTGTGTTTATGTAAATACTGCTTTTATTTTTTTAGTAAGTCTTAAAAATTTCACCACATTTCAGGAGAGTTGCAGAAATATCAATATATATCATTAGTTTAATAATATTTAAAGCATTACCAAAATTAAAATCTATTATATGATCAAAGAGTTAAAAACATATGAGATAAAAATCTAACCTTTTTATCATTTTTCTTCTTATTACGTTTCTTGGGAGATCGAACATTTTGTGTTATTCTATCATACATTTCAATTAAATTTATATTGCAATTATTGCAAACATCTACAATGACATCATGAACTTCCAACAAACAATGTGCATCCAAAGCTATGTAAAAATTAAACTATTAAATGTAATGTTATATTAATTAGAATGGTGTAATTTTATACCAAACCTGCATATAAAATTTGTTCCTTCCTGAGTGGTCGAAGTTCCCAATTTGAAAATTGATTTGTTTTATCAAGATTTGCACCTAAACATAATTGAACCAGTGCTGAAAGTCCATCACCACAACCTGGCTCACCTAAATATGTTTATATATGTAATTTAATTTCCTGATTTAAAAATAAAATATTGTAGAAGATAATACTTACCTGAATATGGATATTTAAAATAGGAATTTCTCCCAAGAGCTTTTGTGAGGTCCTGCAAATCCAACCAACCAACACCACCACAAAATATAGAATTTCGCAATTTTAGAGTTGATTGAATTTTTTCTAAATCCAGCCGTAGACCATATCCTGAAAGTCACACAGATCAGTTTGTGCATCATTTCTATACTCATCCGAGATATTAATATAAAAAGTCTTTGACACATACTTATATATACATTAAATATGTAGTAATATTCTATATTTAAATATGCAGGACATGTATATAAATACAAAATAATAATTACCTAGTTTTAAAATCTCATGATTCTCAAATAATTGTATTGATAATTGCTTCCACAAATGATGTGCATGACCCAACTCAACAACATCTAATAAATAAATATTCTTTCCTGTAGAGAGTTGAATCAAAGCAACATCTGATGGCTTAGTTCCAAAATATGGCTTCCACTCTGAATCTAAACCAACTCGAGTCACATTCTAAAAATATTATTTATCACTTATGGCATATTAATGTCAATTAATATTTCTACTTGAATAATTTGATCCACACACAAATTATGGACTTTTATGTACAAACCTCAAACCCATGCCGTAGCATGTCCTCAAAAAGGTATTCTGTATCCACAAGAACAATATTATCCATAGGTATATTTAGACAATGGAATTTTATGTTATTTACTTCATTTGAATTTGTAAAATGATTTTGTTTTGTATGCATTGGAAATTTGTTAGAAGTATGAGGAATTGTATTACAAATATTTAAATTTTTTTTATCAATTGGGTCAGGATCCCAGTTATCATCCTCAGGTTCACAAAATGTTGGTGAGCTGAATTCTCTAATAAAAAATAAATAAATTATGATTTGAAAATATTTGTTCAATTATGAAATATAGTTTTAAATTTACTTCAAAGCGTAAGGCCAATATTCGAAAGGGACTGCATAATGCTGAGCCCATTTGAGAGCTCCGGCCACATCCCCATGCCTAACCATTAAATTAATCAATTCTCTTTGCATTTCTTCATTTTGCCCAACAGCTTCTTGCATCATTTCATTCCATGAAGCTTCATCTAAAAATTATTATAAACCTATAATAATGTTCTATAATTATAACATGTGCTCTAAAAAATTACTTAGAGATTCTTCGACATATCTTTTATGAGCTATAAAATTCAATGCTCCTTCATTTCTCTTTAAGTTCAAATTCTGACAAACATCTGGTCCTATAGAATATTTTGAACATAATCTTGCAATAAGTTTACTCAAAGGCTTTGGGTGAAGCTTGTCATATTTAACTTCAGGAATGGAATGCTCTCTGCAACGAAACGTTTAAAATCCAATTTTATTTATAGAAGTAGAAGTATTCTATTTTATAAATTTCATAAGCACTTAAGTAAACAAACTTAACATTTACCTAATAAAAGGCTCTATGCAAGTTCGTACTGTAGAATTTTTATTTAATAAACCATCCAAAAATTTAACAAGTATTCCTTGCATGTGTGGATTTTGATCAAGATATTGTTCAGCCAAGTCTTGTCTGTCTTGAAGAATAAGCGGAAGGACAAAATCCGCATATGTAATATTTGCATTCAAGTTCAAACATATAGCCCACTGACATACCTACATTAAAAAAATATTGATTGGATCCATATATCAAAATATCCAAATTTAAACTGGAACATACCTCTTTATATTCTTTTCTTGAGAGCATTTCATTTATATTTTGAAGAAACATGTCACTTTGTTCATACAATCGAAAAGTTTCATTAAACAATTTTACAACATTTGTTACTTTGCTAGACTTTACAAGTGTGAATGCTATCCATTGAACTTCTTTTGTTAATGATGGTTTTAACTCATTATAATATGACTTGCTCCAATTATTCAATTCCTCAATGACTATAAGCAATAATCAATATTTTATATAATATTTGATAGTTATAGTTACATTAAGCATACAGTTATTGTACAATAACATTAAAAAAATCAATAATACTGAATTGAATTATGTTGGGATATATGGAGAAGTAGTTGATTTTTTTAAGAAATTTTAATTTCAACATTATAATTTTGGATGATTGTAAACATTTCAATTATATTTTTAATTTTTTTTTCAATTATATTTTGTTATCCAACATTTTTTCATTTAATTATTACACTCATTCTAATACAACAACACTTGCATTAATAAAATATACCTTTTGTCCCTTTTATTAATTAATTTATGATCTAACTACCATTAGTTACTATTCTTAGAGCATAGTAAATTCTCAATTAATGCTTATTGTAAACTAAATGTAAAATATTAATATCTACAAAAAATTGGCAATATAATATACTCACTGACATATGGCAATTTGTTTGGTTTTGCTTCATTATAATCACCACAATTTACAAATAATTTTAATCCTGAATAATATGGATTTGGAGCAGAAGAGAAAAATGAATGTAGCGTCCTTTCCACATGCTGTGACTTTTTCCCTAAAATTATATTAAATTGATTAAAATGCGTAATATAATGATTTAAATAGGAACAGTATGAATATTTGTTAACTTATTTTGAAAATCATTTATTGGAATTATTAATGTTGACTTCTTGCAATTCTAATTAGATTACATTTTTGCCATAAAATATAGCAGTTTTTATCTCTGAATGAGTCAGATATAAAAAAATAAATAAGCTACATAAATTTGAATATGTTTTCATACATGATCTCCATAGTGCTTTTAACTTATCAAACCATTGGCTTGTAGCTTCATCTAAATCTTTATCGAAAGGCTTTCCATCAAAGGTACAAGATTCAAAAACAGATGGAACAACTCTAATGTGTAAATTGGGCACTCCCAGTTCTTCAATATTTTGTTTAGGATTTGTAAAGAGTAGATCACCAGTGTCATCTTCAGAATCTGATAAACCTGCTGGGACATATTTATTCTGAGAATTTTGTGCGTTCATCTCCTTGAACTTTGTCTTGCTATTTATACTATTCGGTGTTTTGTAGCTACGATGAAAGTGGCCGCCTTTACGTTCAAACGTTTTATTAAATGACATCACGAAATATGATCTTTTTTGGACTAATTTAGTACTTCGACGTTACCAGTAATTATGAAACATTATTTATACGATTGAATGAAGATTTTGAAGAAAATAATTATAAAATAATCCCTGTAAGAAAATTTTGACGTTAATGATAGTTTCAACAAATTGTGTACAGATGGACTGTCAAATATTTCATAAAAATCTACAGCTTAGCCAACATGATAAAAAAGTTAAGTTTTACTGTTGACATGTTGGTGACATTTTCTCAAATATAACCAATTTGAACTGTCAAAATTAAATATTTGTTATAAATAATAATGACAATAATTAATTTTAAGTTTCAAAGTTGCAATATAAAAATCTAAAAACTGATTAATATTTTAGCAACCTCTTGACATTACTCTAATTATCGCCCTTGTTGGAAAAAGGTTAGGCTGGAACTTTCAGATTGTTCTGGAACTTCTACAAAGTTCTTCCATTGCTTCCTATAAATTGATGATCATAATTTTGAAGAGTTTCATTTGTATAGTATATAAATTAATTACTTAAAAACAAAAATGGCTACAAATGAAAATGAAAAATTGCAAAATCAACCTAGACAGCCACAAAGTTTGCAAGTAAGTTTATTAATTTTTTATATCTTAAAGAAAATTTTGTTTTACATTTGCTATTTTTTAGGGTTTGATGAAATTTGCTATTGAAGCAGGAAGTGGCGAAGATACGACATGTAATAATAACTTTCAACCTATGGATGCTGAGGTATAATTATGCATTCCGTTTAGCAATAAACAAATTGAGATACATTAAATTTATTATTTTATCAAATTAATAACATTATAAACTGATGTTATAGGTGATCATTACTTCTTTAAATGCAGTACATTATTTTAATTTCTTTAATAATAATGCATGTCATTTAGTAACAAACTAATATATCAGTCATTGTCCGCAAATTCATTATTTGATAATAAGCCTAAATTTACCATAATATATTAATTAGCTTTTTGTTCTAAATTTTTATATAATATTATTTAGGTAGTGATTCAAGTGGTTATTGTAACATTAAATTATTTCTAAATAATATTTAGAGACGAGCATTCTTGGAAAAGACATTGAAAAGTCTTACAATTGATATAATTGAAGTGCTTCAAAAATGTATTTCTACACTTCATAATAACAAGGATAGTGCAGACCAAAATGAAAATGAATGTATTACTGCTTTAGAAACAATACAGGACTACGTTGATAATATAGACACTGCAAATGGTATGTATCTTAATTAATATTTAATTTTATTTGAAGGTAAAATCTAAATTTATTAAATACATTTCAGATTTTTTTAAAATTGGTGGATTCTCAATATTACCTATATGCTTAACATCTCCTTGGCCTTCAGTTCGTTCACACGGATGTGAGCTTATAGCAGATTTAGCACAGAATAATCCTTACTGCCAAGAAAATTTATTAAAATGTAATCTTTTACGAGACCTTTTCAAACTGCTTTCTGATGAGAATGTGGTTGCTGTAAAAGCTATGTATGCAATCTCTTGTGAGTTTCTACCATGGCGTATATGTCTTTGAACACATGTTAAAAAATTTTATTTTGAGATAAGTGTATTATTTACAGGCATGGTAAGAAATTATGATCCAGCATTGCAATATTTGTTGGACAATGAGGGATTTAAAAGTATCATTGAAGCTATTGGATCAAAATCTTCAACTGATAAGCTACAAACTAAAGGTGCCTTTTTGCTCAGAGCCCTTTGCCTCCAAGACAATAGAGTCAGAGGTAAATATCTTGTTTAACAAAAAATTTAATATTATTCTAGTTTTTTACAAGTACTCATTAAAAACAGACTAAAATAATTTCAAGGATTATCATAATTCATTTTATTTATTGAATTAAAAAAATGATTACATTTATATAGGTGAACTGGTTCAATTAAATGCTGTGGAACAGTTAAGTTTAGCCTTAAAAACTTCAAGTGATAGTCGTGAACACATTATGTCAGCACTTTTATCAATTATTTGTTCTATGGAGGCAGAAGAGTCTTCAAAGGATTTATTAACCATGGATTCAATAAGCGATGAAGTTTTATCAAGAGCTAAATGTCCAGATTTGGATTTAAAGGAAACATTAGATAAATTCATAAAAGACAGTGAAAATAAAGCAGAATTGCAGGTAACAATATAATATATCAAGTAATTAATGAATTTTGTGTGAAAATTTATGATTCTATCAATTCTAACGAATTAAAACAATTTGAATAGCTGCAAAATTTAACATATTATCTATAAGAATATGGTTTTGCAATACTAACAAATGTTTTGTAATTTTTTGCAGGAGGTGAATGACTACTCAAAGAAACTGCGGAATTTAATATTTAAACAAGAATAACAAGAAATAAGATTGAGATTTATAATTTTATTTAAATAAAACAATTATGTTAATAATACAAATTGTATTAATCCTGAATAACCATGCTCATATTATTATTCTATATTCATTTAATTCAAAATGAAATATTTTCAGTTCAAATACATTTGGATGTTACCAATTTCAATCTTACAATATATAGTTTTATTAATTTTACATAATTACACATAATTTATACCAGACATCGGCAACCTACGGCACGCGTGCCAGGCTTGGCACGCGACGGCGTTCTGCATGGCACTCTACAAAATAATCAGGGCAATCGCAAACATGGGGAGTTATTTCCGAACAAATGTATATTATGTTTACTTATCTATGATCGCAAATATATCGAGACGAAGTGATTTTTAAATAAGAAAAACTGTTGAAATATAATTGTAGTAATTTTACACCCATTGTAGTATTGTTTACAAACATGGTAGTAATTTCACACCCATTGTAGTATTTTTACAAACATTGTAGTAATTTTACACCCATTGTAGTATTGTTTACAAACATTGTAGTAATTTTACACCCATTGTAGTATTTTTACAAACATTGTAGTATTTTTACACCCATTGTAGTATTGTTTACAAACATTGTAGTAATTTTACACCCATTGTAGTATTTTTACAAACATTGTAGTAATTTTACACCCATTGTAGTATTTTTACAAACATTGTAGTAATTTTACACCCATTGTAGTATTGTTTACAAACATTGTAGTAATTTCACACCCATTGTAGTATTTTTACAAACATTGTAGTAATTTTACAACCATTGTAGTATTTTTACAAACATTGTAGTAATTTTACACCCATTGTAGTATTGTTTACAAACATTGTAGTAATTTCACACCCATTGTAGTATTTTTACAAACATTGTAGTAATTTAACACCCATTGTAGTATTTTTACAAACATTGTAGTAATTTTACACCCATTGTAGTATTGTTTACAAACATTGTAGTAATTTTACACCCATTGTAGTATTGTTTACAAACATTGTAGTAATTTTACACCCATTGTAGTATTGTTTACAAACATTGTAGTAATTTTACACCCATTGTAGTGTTGTTTACAAACATTGTAGTAATTTTACACCCATTGTTGTTTCGTTTACAAACATTATAGTAATTTTACACCCATTGTAGTATTGTTTACAAACATTGTAGTAATTTTACACCCATTGGACTTATGTACATCAAATTATCAGATATTTTATAGAGATTTTAATACTGTGTACATATTTTGTGTAATTTTTTTTGGGTTCAGTACCAAGATTTTTAATTTCAGTATGGGAAGTTCTAGCAATTTGAATTAAGGCACGATGCAATGCACCGCACTAGTTAATAAAAATGTTTAAAGATAAATTTGGTTATAATTCTTCTCCCCCAGAATCTGGTTATATATTTCAGGCGGCACCCTGAATCATATTGGTAGAGTGGCTCGGCACACCACAGTTAATAGCTTGCCGACCCCTGAGCTATACTTTAAAATAAAAACAAACGCAATTGGCAAGTTAATGTGATAAATCAAAACGGTTATACGAGTACGTTAGTTATCCTTATTAGAATCAATCAAGAATTGTATTCGATTCCAATTAGAAACTAGTGTCGACACCTATTGCTTTGCTAGCGTTTGATATAATTTTTCTTTGAACATTATATTTATTATTAATCAATTACAAATTATATTTTCCAACAAAAAGTAAATTTCTATGCTTATATATTGTTTAATTCTTTTGTGTTGCACAAGTTGATTGAATATTTTATTAATATTCTCCGGAAGCCGATAAGATGGATTAATTCATACCGCCATATTGGATTACTTTTGTGGGTGTCTCATAGTTGAAGTTGACGGACGTAAAATACTTGGCTGATTTTATTTATTCAAGCTCAGTATTTAGTGCAGTTCGTTTAATGATGCATTTCAAGTAACATCAAATTTCCAGGGCGAGGATTGATTTGCTAGTTGGAGATGTATGTATTGAAAATTTTAAACTTATATTAATTGTTCTATTTTAAATATATTGCGCTACGTATCAATGACAGTTGATAGCGTTGGACGTTTATCGCAGTTTCGCTTTTAATCTTTTTGTCTGCTCTTGTATGAACTTGCTTTATACGCCTATTTCATCATTTATGTGTTTTTCATACTTTGTATTGAATTTGATAATAATGTGCGATATTGATTTGTGCTTTGACGTCTGAGGTAGATGTTTCAAACTTCTACATCTTATGGAGACTTTTTAATTCATTTTTTTTACATTGAATATATTGCAGTGTGCCACAAAACTAATTCCAAAACTTTAAATCTTTAGGGATATAAATATAATGAAAGGATATACAGTAGAATTGAACTTCACATATAGGGCTTATCTCTATGTATTAAATGTAATTTACTACTAAATTGGTCTATATGATGTATATGATCATATACAGATATGATCGAGAGATATTCATTAGGGAATTATAATTGTTGGAATGGTTTTATTGAACCTTCATTAATTTTTTGCTAGATTTGTGAGTTTGATAGATAAAGCAGTACTTCAATTATCTAATTCTAGTGGAATAAACAGCGATTAACATAGAACAATATCCAATTAATTAAACAGTCAAATTATGATGTTCTAGAAACGAAACTTACACTAAACTTATGCAAAAATATTTATCTATGTTTGCTCTCCTTCTATTTATATTAAACTCTTAATGTGTTTCCAATTTTATTTTACAATAGTTAATTATGTAGATAATCTAGTTCTTTCTTTCAGCCAATCATCCAAAATGATTGGAGGTTTGTTTGTGTATAATCACAAGGGGGAGGTGTTGATATCTCGAGTATATCGAGATGATATTGGCAGAAATGCAGTGGATGCTTTTAGGGTCAATGTGATCCATGCTCGCCAACAAGTTCGATCTCCAGTTACAAATATTGCGAGAACTTCTTTTTTTCACATTAAGGTGTGTAAAGTATAACAATTGTTCAGTTAATTGGTACATTTAATGAGAATGTTTAATCTGGTGTCTTTACATTATTCATTAGTAATTTTTCTTTTAATCTAAACAAGTTAATATTCCAAAGTTTTTTGTGTTCATTTTTATTGCAACCTATTCATAATATAGATGTATTTTCTAATATAATACAGTTATATTTTAATATTCAATTATCAATTTGTAAATGGATCCAGTTATCCATTTTTTAAATGGATATCAATGATTAAAGGATAAATTTGAGGTTTTCCATATTGAAGTTCAAATATACATATTTGACTTCCTATTTTATATATAAAACTTACATTTACATATCTCATTGTTATTATAAAATATCTGCAATAAAAGCAATACAAATAACCTATTTAAGGAATATTATGTTTATATATATTTACATTTATATTTATGTGTAAAAACTAATTTTTATCATTTTCTAATTATCTGTAGCGTGCAAATATATGGCTTGCTGCAGTTACTAAACAAAATGTAAACGCTGCTATGGTTTTCGAGTTTTTATTGAAGATCATTGAAGTAATGCAAAGTTACTTCGGCAAAATCTCTGAAGAAAATATCAAGAATAATTTTGTTTTGATTTATGAACTTTTAGATGGTATGAGCATGATATCTTGATTATTTCATTACATATGAGTTTAACATGCCTTGTTTTTAGAAATACTTGACTTTGGTTATCCACAAAACTCAGATACTGGAGTTTTAAAAACTTTCATTACTCAACAAGGTATTAAATCTGCTTCTAAAGAGGAGCATGCACAAATAACATCTCAGGTATATGCAATGTTTTTGTATATGAAAAGATTATAATGAATATGATAATCTGTCATTTTCCATTTATTATTTGCAGGTAACTGGTCAAATTGGATGGCGTAGAGAAGGAATTAAATATCGTAGAAATGAATTATTCTTAGATGTCTTGGAGTATGTTAATCTATTAATGAGCCCTCAAGGTTAGAATCTGTTTTGCTTTTTTGATTAAAGGCAATAATTTAAACTTATTTTTAAATCTTACAATGTTCCATTTATTTATAAGAAAATATTATATTAGCATTTTATTATTATTATTCATACATTTTTTTTATATCAATTATTAATTCTATTTTTTTTTTAATTCAGGTCAGGTCCTCTCTGCTCATGTAGCCGGAAAAGTTGTTATGAAATCCTACTTGTCTGGCATGCCAGAATGTAAATTTGGAATCAATGATAAAATTGTAATGGAAGCCAAGGGAAAAGGTGGTTTGTCCGGAAACAATGACTCAGATCCTGCACGGTCTGGTAAACCAGTTGTTGTCATAGATGACTGTCAATTTCATCAGTGTGTCAAGCTATCTAAATTTGAAACTGAACATTCAATTAGCTTCATTCCACCTGATGGAGAATTTGAACTAATGCGGTAAGTAGAAAAAACTTTTTGTAAATGCTTTAATGCCATTTCTGATCTTTAGTAAATAGATATTTATCCCAAATCTTTACATTTTACCCTATTTATTGCTGTATAACTTCATAATTTAAAGTTTATCAATGATTTTTATTTTATTGTCTTTAATTACATTAGTTATTGAATTATTATTTTTTTTCTATATTAGCTATCGGACTACTAAAGATATATCACTGCCATTCCGAGTTATTCCCTTAGTCCGAGAAGTTGGTCGCACTAAAATGGAAGTGAAAGTGGTTTTGAAAAGCAATTTTAAACCATCACTTCTAGGACAAAAAATTGAAGTAAAAATTCCTACACCATTGAATACATCTGGTGTGCAGTTGATTTGCTTAAAAGGCAAAGCCAAATACAAGGCATCTGAAAATGCTATTGTATGGAAGTAAGTTTTAAATTATTACTAAAATACTATTTGAATTATTGGTTAAAGATTTGATTTATTTTTTTATTTTATTAAATTTATTTACAAATTTTTTAATTGTTCAGAATAAAACGAATGGCTGGTATGAAGGAAACTCAATTGTCTGCTGAAATTGAGTTATTAGAAACCGATACCAAAAAGAAATGGACGCGCCCTCCAATTTCAATGAACTTTGAAGTTCCATTTGCTCCATCTGGTTTTAAAGTATGTTTAATATTTACGTTTTTGGGATATTGAATTATTTTATTATTAATATTTTTATTAATAAACTCGATCTCATTTCAAATAGGTACGGTATTTAAAAGTGTTCGAACCAAAACTGAATTACTCAGATCATGATGTCATAAAATGGGTTAGATATATTGGCCGAAGTGGTTTGTATGAAACTCGTTGTTAAAATATGAGGTTCGCATCGATTTATGACAAATGCAATGTCCAAGATTAAACCCAGAACTAGAACTGTACTAAAAATTGCCAATCATCAAACATGATCTTCATATTGATTTATGAATATATCAACCTTCAAAACAATCTGTTTGATATAAATTTGGCAAATTATTAAAATGTTAATGTTTTTAATTTTTAAGAATCTATTATACTTTGAATTCTTGTATGGAGAAGTATTGTTATAAGTATGGAGTCTTATTTGTATTGGATATTAAGAAATCTCACAGTAATATAATATTGTATAAAGTATGTAGATACTTCAAAAAACTAATAATATATAATTGTTAAAAAATTTAAATTTGTTCATAGGTGCATTATTAAAAATATAATTTAATGAACTGTTGATAAATATTCAAAGGCTTTGTCTATCTTTTTTTATTTGAAATGACCAAAAGATATGTTTGCCAGAATGTATACCTAGGAACATAGTTGTTCCTGCACAAAAATTTGAAGTTGACTATCACTTTATTACCAGTTAAATAATTTTCATAAATTTATTTGTTGTCCTGTAGCCCATTAATTAAATACGCAAGAAATTCATATCATTATTATTTCATAGCTGAAAGTATTTGGTATATTCATTTACTATAAATACATTTGATTAGATATTATGTATATTTTAAATGTGAATTCTAGAATGTTATTGTTAGTAGAAATTTTGCTTGCAAATTGCTTGAAATCCTAGCTTCATATATAATGTATATGTATAAACTCTGAATAGTACCTAACAAGCATTGAATTAGTTTAAGAAAAATGCTCTTCTACTATCATTCCAAATGAGATTCTTGTTTGAATCTATGATATAAGTAAAATGATGTAAAATAATAAACTTAATTTTTGTTGTACTTCGTTTTTTATTGACATTTTTTTTTCATTTCATTCAATTTATTTAATTTTTCATTTTCTTTATTTTTAGAATTAATATATGAGTATAGTATAAAAATTTGAATCTGTACGAATATAAAAATACATATCGTTAGTCAAAAATTTCTTAATATAATTTCTCGAAAGCTTCAGCATTTTTATTATTAAGTTTGGTATAATTTTTATTTAACTGAAAGTTTACTCAAATACTAATTTATTAACAGTAATAGATCATGTTATTGAAATTCAATTCAAATAACATCTATACTTATTGAGATACTGTTCCTATTATATGTTATAAGCCAAAGAAATAGCAATGCATGCAGTGAACGTAACATTTAACTCAGAATTAAAAAATCAATACATAACAATTTAAAAAAATATCAATTCAAATAATTACAATAATAATAAAATTATTTTTAAAAAATAATGGAAATGAAAGGATTTTTTTATACTAAAATTATTGCTTATTAGTTGGAGCAATACTACTTGTAATGGAAATAGTGGTACGAGTAGTACATTGATACACCTAGTAATTTGCTGAATTATTGTTAGAAAAACTAATTATTTTATGAAGAATATAATCTAATAGATTTTTAAATGTTCTATAAAAAATATTTTGTATTTAAATTATACATGCTTGAAACGTAAACTTTGCATAAAACCGGTAGTGCAGCCATTCCTATTAAAATATATAGGTAGGTTGTCTTATTATTAGATATTTAATATTTATTTATTTTACCGATTTAAATTCCGTGATAGATATGAATTCATTTGTAGCTATAAATGTTTAAGTGAATTTTATATCTTTTAATACGTTTGAAATATTAGTTTTATATATAATTACTGAGGTTGCTAATATAAAACTAAGCAGGTTTGATGAAATAGGGCAGATTTAAATTTAAAATTTCTATAACTCATATAGGTGATACAAATATGCCATAACATATGTGTTACATTTACATGCATATATGTAAACTTTATACATACACAATTTAATGTAATTCATACTTACTTACAAAATTATTATTTTTATTTGGATTTTGTACAAAAAGTTTACTACTATTATTAATATGTATTACACTCATATAAGTTTTAGAAATTTAAAATTGAAATCTTTACATTTTTTAAAGTTAACTATATATTAAGTAAACAATCATTTACAAACCTCATCTAATTCTAATTCTAATTTTAAAATATATATAAATGATATAAATTTTTCTCAAAAATTTAATACAGGTTTTATTTTTGTGCAGTAAGCATAGATAAACATGTATAATGGCAGTAAGTAAGAGCAATTAAGTCTTTTTGTTATTTATTCACTGAAAGTTATGAATGAAATAAATAAAATCAAATAAAATATTCCAAATAAAAATATACTTATTGCTTAAAATTAATAAAAGTTGTTGGTATTTTGCGATAAATCTATTAATTTTAATATATATATATATATATATATATATATATATATATATATATATATATATATAATATATATATATATATTGTTATAGGATCATTGTTCCGTTACTGTTAATGTACAACTGTAACTGATAGTGTAAAACTGGTTCGTTTATAAATTATTATTTAATATTGAAGTTATCAAATTATTAATCGTATAGTATGTTATGTATGTACATGGTATATAATTGTTTTGTGTCGACCGTCGAAAACTAAACAAAGCAGGTCGCCACACGTGTTCAGGGCATGCGCAGGCGGCAGCAAGAAACGAGCGCTGTCATGGACTCCACAAGAACGCTCGTCAAATTATTTCGCAAAACAAACTAACTTTTAACCACGATTCATCAATGATTATATGATCAAAGTTAACGTCAAATCGGACATTACATTCGGGACATTGTTAATGATGTGATATTGGTGTATTTAATCGTGATTGTGACCGTAAATAAAGTTGATTTAGTAATTTCTGCTCCGAGCACTCAACGTCAAATCGCGGATTCCCGGCTGACAGGGGTGTAGCGGCGGAGTGACTTTGAAAAGGTAAGATGTTTATTTATGTTTGATAATTATATTTAGAATTTCGATCCACGCGCCTAGAATATTAATCTTACAAAACACTCGCTAATTAAATATACACGGGCATTCTTCTATAGCACATGCACGAGGTGACGAGCGAAAAAAACTAATCATATTTACTATTTATAATTCAAATATTTTGTCAAGCAAACAAGTTTTATATACTATATTAAAGACCTTATTTCTTTACCAAATTTTTTTATAAAACAAAAAGTTTTTACAGTAAGTTTTTTCTTGTATAGTTAGTGTTACTGATGGTAACTTTTTGTAAACCAATGTTTATTCACTAATCGTCAGCATTATTCAATAATTAACATCCCGTAGAATAAGTTATAGTAATCGCAACAAAAACTAGTGGGGCGCATGGCATCGTGCCTTAAGGCAAATTGCTGGAACTTCCCGTACCAAAAATTATTAATTTTTTAAAAACGATTAACATTTTTGAACTATAAATTCGACAAAAAATTACTTTGTTTTGAAAAAAAAAAATTGAAAAAAATGTTTTCTTTATTTTGACATATTTTGGAAATGTTGAACTTTTTTTCAAAGCAATCGTACTGCTTTGACTGCATAGAGACAAAACGTCAAAGCGCGTAAGCACCGCGTCGCCGTCTACCGGATAAACATTGGTACGGAAACCATAGGAATGTAAACACAATTTATACTTATTGTTAAAATCTCTATAAAATATCTGATAATTTGATGTACATATGTCTAATGATCATTTTTGACCGCCAAATGGCATTTTTTTTTACTTTTTTTATTAGATCTCCAAAACCGCTAAACCTGCCTTCAATCAATCAATTCTTCATCTTGTTAATACAAGTAAAATGTTTTTTAACTTCCCGTAAGGCAAGTTATAGTAATCGCAAAAAAATCGAAAATGAAAATTTTTATATATCTTTACGTTTCAAAGGTTTCTGAATATTTTGGCACCCCTTAGAAAAAATGAACGTATGTGTGTGTGTGTATGTGTATGTGTGTATGTGTGTGTGCGTGTGTGTATGTGTGTGCGGATACATATTTTCGTCGACGATTTCGGGAACACGGATCAACCGATTTGAGTAATTCAAATAGCATTCGAGTCGTATTAATGGGGAGACGTGCTGATTAGTTTTTGGCAAAGGCAAAAAGTGCCAAAAATGGTAATTCAGTTTTTGAGATAGCGGAGCGTCCGATTTGAATAATTAAAAAAATATTTTATGAACGCAAATTGTTGGCAAGGCAGGTCTAGTGGTTGTGGACATCCTATAAAAAAAGTTAAGTCATTTGATAGACAAAAATGATCATTAGACACATGCACATCAAATTATTAGATATTTTATAAAGATTTTAATGATGGGTACAAATTTTGCAATTTAATGGGTTCCGTCTGTTAGACTGCGACGCGGCGCTTACGCGCTCAATATTTCATTTCTATGCAGCTAAAAAGTTAAAACCTTCAAAATATAAAAAAAATGTTTGAAATTTAAAAAAAGGTAATTTTATCAATAATTTCAGAATTCTCAAAAATCTAATGTTTCAGTTTTCAAAAAATTTTAAAACTTTTAATTTTCGGTAAAGGAATTTTCAACAATTTACCTTAAGGCACAATGCCATGCCCCACTAGTTAGTTTTATCATTTTCGAAAAATAAATATAATAACCAATTTCATGTTATACTTATTCTAATACATATATCTATTTAAATAATGATAGATTCTTTAAAAATGATTCAAGAATACAATGTTTTGAATAGATCGCATCGTTGCTTATAATCTGTTCAAAAGTTTGCATGATTGTTGCCAATTTCATGTGATGATCAAGTTTCGATGGTAGTTGAAAGATATGATAACATCTTTTATAAATGCTATATTTGAGTCATTGTGAATTATATATTTAGAATTTTAACATAGCTCATTTGTAATTAATAATTGAAATGATTCACCGCATTCCAAATATTTTAGAATTATCAGAATATGCCAAACATGTTTGAAAATTCATGGAAAATCATTATGCCATTAAATTCTTTTGGGTTAATATTGATATTAAAATACATACATATTTCTATATTTTATTTAGGTAACCGAAAGATTGCACACGTAATGTTATCTAATGTTTTATATTTACACAAAATCGAACAATGAACAATGTAATATGTTTTGTAAATACTATTTCCTAACTTATATACATGTTATATTAATATATCAAAATATTGTTTTAGTATTTGAATATTATTTCCAAATAATAGTATAACATACAAATACACACACGCATATATATATATATATATATTTAATATATTTAATATATATATTCAACTATACTGTTTTTTGAATAGCAACTATAAGGTTTATAAGGTTTATGTACATTCTTAACTTAGTATCTCTTAAAAGCAACTCAGTGGTCGACCATTTCCTTTTTTCCTTGAAATCATATTGAAAATTTAAGATTGTGAAAATTTTATATCACTTGATATCAAGCTGGGTGAGATGGGCATCATACCCATCATACCCGGAATCAGTTGCAAACCCACGTTTTTACTCAGGAGCAAGTCAATTACTAATTAAGTATAAGCCTGTATCGAATTAAACTGACAATTAGAAACAAAATTTTAAACAGGAAAAGAAATAAAATGAAAACAATAT